AGCAGAGTAATAAAATGGAAGGAGTCTGTCTTGGAATAACCGTGTGGAGCAAAGCCTCTCCCCATAACCCCGTCCAATCCTCATTTGACTGTGATGTGAGTAAGCAATACGTTTTTATTGTATTAAACTGGAGAGATTTTAGGGATTGTGGTTAATAACAGTTACTTACCCTGACTAATACAATCTCCCTTATAACATTTCCTTTATAATCTTAAGGATGGTAATTAGCTAATCATTTTGTCTCTAATTTTGGTGAAAATTGGGATCCTTGGGTTCAGACATTACCAGATTACCAGTACCTTTAGTTGTTCTTCACAGGGCCACTCTATGCACTTTCTCCAACCACTCCAACACACTTGAACATATCCTTTGTTACTCTTTGTGTAGCTTACCCAGTTTCTCTACATTATTTTAAACCTGGTGACAAATACCCCCAACCCCTCCCTCCTGGACTTTGTTTCCCTCTGATTCAATCACTTCAATGCCTTCCTTTTACGATCAGAATTCTTTGTTCCAAACTGAGATGCAGACTTTAAATAGAATAAGAAGATGAAACTTATCCATAAACCAGTTTTGCAGAAGCACTTTGCCTTTCTTGACCGTTACTCTCCCGCAAACACTTCAGGGGTTGCTCCAGTGGTTAATACACCTACCATTGTGTTTCTATTCTTGTCCTTACAGTTTCAGGATGCTCAGTTAAGAAGGTAGGTTAAACACTCAAAAAAAAAAAAAATTCCTTTCCTGCAACTGACATTCTTGATCCTTGGAGTCTTCATTAACTCTTGTTTTTTTCCTTCATTTTCCACTTTTCACGTTACCACATCAGCCTATTCCTCTTCTTCCTCAGATCTGCTTTTTTCAGAGAATATCTAGGTTGCCACCCTATATCCATCTCTCATCTCCTCACACCTGGACTATGATAACAGCCTCTTAGCTGGTCTCCCTGCCTCCATTCTGCCTCCGTACCTAATTCTGTGTGTTGCTATCAGATGAATGTTCCAGCACATCCCTTAGCCTTATTTTTTATTATACCCTCACACAGATTTCTGCTCTTGCTAGCCAAATGTGCTTGCTATCAGCTAAATATGACTTGTTTATTCTTCTCTCAGTCTTCACATGTGCTATTCTCTGAACTTGGAAAATTCCCTATATTCACCACAGTTCCTTCTGTTCCAAACTTATCTCTTGCCCAAGTCGGCACTGAATCAGCCTACTCCATTTATCTACTCTGCATATACAATATTAATTTTCATACACTGGAATGCGTTTTGCAAATATTCCTTTCTTCCGTGCATATGATATGTAAACTATTTGAGGACAGGGACTTCAATTAAAAAAAAATTCCCTACACTTTATGCAGTGGCCAGTACACAGTGAGCACTCAGTAAATATTCATGATTGACTTTAGTACTATCTGGAGAAAATTTGGTTGAGCAAATAGCAGTAAGCATTTGGGAAGAAAAGTTTAGATGGGTGTAGGTGATTTTACAAGTTCTGATCTTACAGTAATTAAATAGAGTGCTGAGTAATCTTCTCAAATTGCCTATGGCTGATTTCAGTTCTAAAAAAAGTCAAGTTTGATATGAAAGTGTTTGAAGTGAATGATTATTGTTTATCAAACAGCCCCATACATTCATCAGACAGCCCTATTGTTAAACTGTTAAACACTGTGACCTCCTATCAAACATCTTAGAACAAAAATGCATGAGTAATAGAGATACTGGAGCCAGACAATTTTCAACATTAAATTCTCTCCCAGAAAGAGCAACAACAACTGCAAGTGTTCAGTCTTAACTGGTCACTGTGGAACTATTTTCTGTTTTAACTTGACTCTGGTTTTATCAGTTCACTATCTCACCTTGGGAAATGAATACAAGGAGTGTAAAGATTTATGTGTGCAATTTCTAGGATATTTCCCTTGGTCATTACTTAATTTTCTAGAAAACACTTGGTGCAAACCAACCAATTTATTTAAAAATAAAATACCAAAGGGCAGTAAATGCTTTAAACCAGTGGTTCTGTACTCTCACAAACCCTTCAAATACCAAGTGTGTCAGGGAGTATCCTTTCCTTTCTTGCCAGAACTTTCTTCCTTAACACATGCCATTTTCCAATTTGTTGTAGAAGCAATCCTTAGGATGCTAGTTATTTCCATGTCCTCTTGAACTTATTAACTTCTTTTTCATAACTGAACTCTGCGTCTCCCTCTCATTGCAACCTGTCTCCTACTTTTAAGCCTCACAATGTTAGCCATCAATCTTCAAAGAAAATGTCAACTTTTCACATTATGCTAACTTGGGTTCAAGCCTCACCAGAAGCCCACAAGTAAATTTGTACCCCCTCCCTCTTTTTTTATGAGAGTGACCAAAAGCAAAACAGATTTGCATCTAATTTAATGTAGGCTTAGAGGAAGTGAGGAGAAATATCTTCTTACTTCTTTTCAGGAACCATCCAGCTACCTTTGAGAGTCTCCTTAGTAAGACAGGATCCCATAGATTACCGAACTCACCAGAGTTCATATTTTGCCAAATTAAACCCATGTACATGTTGTCCATTTCTGAGCATTATTTGTTCTTAATGCAATTTTCATTTCCTATATTATCTATTGCTATTGTGCATTTGTCATTTGCCTCATCATTTCTGACATTTTCAGAATGTTTTGCTTTAAAATAACCTCAATGCCAAATGATATATATATATATATTGTTGATAGATGAGCTAAATAAATTTGGTAAGAATGTATCAGAACTAGTTACACTAGTATTTGTCTAGATTTCTAAAATTCAGTTTGGTGAAAAATTAAGAAGAAAATATTTTCCCACAGTTAAAGCAACTGGAAGAATACATCGTGTTCTAGACTAAATACATATTATACCCTTATGGGCTATATCTTTAAAAAAAATCTCAGATGAAAATCAAATTTTGAATCGCCATCTAGAAATAAATTTTTATAGATAGTGTACACATTGGTTCCTGAAAATGGTAGAAAAGGTTTCTTGTCAAGTTCCCCAGCACAAGTGTGAATGCTCTGTTTTTGAGTACCTACTAGTAGTGAAAGGACACATTGTGGCCAGCCAACTCAAATTGCTACCCACGTTTAATCATTGTAAATAAAGGAAGCAGAGAGACCCACCTTATATTTTCAGAACTGGCATGCTCAATACAGAACTATTAGTTTAAAAATACCACCAAACATTCTATTTGAATTAATCTAGACTTCTGTGAAAAACAAGATAATAAAAAGTACAATTGGTCACTTAAACATATACTACTTACTTCATGCAGGTTATTAACTTAGTTATTACACATAGCATTAAAGAATGAGAGTAAATACAATTTTCTAACACTTGAAAAACAGTTCAAAATTGACAAATTTCCATTTTGAAATACTTACAGTTTTTTACAGAAGCAAAATTACCTTTGTCAGTGGGGCAAAAATACATCTATGAAACACCTACATGTGTTGAACAGGACTAATTGTCCCACTGTGGAATGAACCTGTATCACTGCTAAGCTTTCACGTACTGTTGGTGCATAATGCATTTTCTGAAAGGATGGATATAGAAGAGCAACAGAGAAATGAGTACTTTGAACAAAACCCATGGATCACAGGGAATCAATAATGAAAAGATGTTGAAAGAAATAATCAAAGCATATTATCTAATGATCTCTTTACACATTTGAGTTTCACAATTATAAGGGCTGGGCAAACTCTTCATTTTTACACACTGTGTGCATTTGTCCTTGTTTCCATTCGTCTCCAAACATGATTTAAGAACCATTTGCAAAATGCCAGAATCAACATTGTTTAACAATTGACCCCCACAGGCATCTAGGTGAAGAGCACACCAAATTTGATTAATTGAAAAGAACATAAAGTAGTAATTCACAGTAGATACTAGAATAGGGGTACATTCCTTACAGCAAATACGCAATATCTTAGATTATTCACAGAGATTTCCTGGTATGGCACAGTCACGGTCACTACGGGAGAGTGTCAGAGTTTAGTCTATCAAATACACTATTTGAAGCACCAGGAATAGAGATAAACTTCCGCAGGAGCCTTGCACACATGGCCAAGCAGATACTGTGTATGTACAGAATAGTCTGTTTCACAACTACATTTCGGATGAGAATCACTGCAATTGCTGCTCCACCACTAGGAACTTGAATCATTTAACACTTCATCTATATTGAATATTGTTGTATTACTTCTTTTCTATTGCTGACACTCGCAGTCAATACATATTTAAATTCAAACTCCAGTGATGCTGAAAAAAAAAAAAAAGTAGGAAGATGCTCACATCTTCATACAAAACTTACAGCAGCTCAGAAGATCTTTTGGGGGAAAAAATCCAAATGTGAATTTGTTATCAAACAATAAAATGTGCACTTTAAATATGTTTTGAAAGTTGTAAAACTTGAAATAAGCTAGAAAGCCATAAGGGTTGCAGAGAATCATTCTAAAAGAACTAACAGCTTGTCTATTCTTTTGCTTGAGAATTGCACATTGTTTACTGACCTACCAGTTTGCCTACAGATGTGATTGCCTAATGAAACTAAAAGCTGTTATTATGAGTTGTTGATTTAGTCTACAAAAGTTGTCCATTATGTTGAAGAAGTTCTAAAAGTTTCAATCACATTTTTCTCAGCTGATCTTCCTCTACAAACAAACTTCCAATTGGGGTGCCTCAATATTTCTTTCTTGATAATTCCTGGTCTTTCAGTTACGCTATAAAAGTATTCTTTTTCCATTAAACTTAGTTGAGAATTTTTTAATTCAACAGAAGTCTTTAAGTTTTCCTCATTTTAAATACCATGTAAATACTGATATATTCATAAATATAGGGAAGATAGCTCACCTACTAAGCTTCCAGTCCATGTATCATAAAACCTACTCTAAAACAACAGGGTATATAGTTTTTGTTTTTTTTTTCAAGAGGAAATCAAAACTGTACATTGGAACAAGGTACCATACTACAAAAGCAGGTCCTTCTTTACCCCCACTGTTCTGGAAATGTAAACAAAAATATTTAAGTACAAAACAATTTCTGTGCCTTTTTCTTCAAACACTTTTTCAGCACCTCAATGATATTAGGTGAACTTTATGCTTGGATTGGCAGAAGCTATGTATGCTCACACAGCTGTTCAGAGGGATTCAGGTTTTTCACTACCAAATATCACTGGTGAAGCTAAGCTCTTTGGATGATAAAGGTAGCAGAGGACTGTTCCTATGAAATTCCTGGGCATCTTTCAGGGTGTTATTAAGGGGTAGTTGTCCATTGAGTAGCGTGAGAGGCAGGTTACAATAAGTGTGGTGGTTGCCTAAGGAAGGTACTGGCAAGGTGGATGCTGGCATCTCATGTTTATAGCCTCTGCAACAGTGCCTCATTTGCACCGAATCTGAATGGTGGAAATCAGGGACATCAGCTTGAGATGACACCAGAGTGGCCGAGGTACTGGTCACGGCAATAGAGGGTATAGGTTGCAGTTCTCCAAAAAGTCCTTGTTCTGCAGAGTCCCGAACATGGCACCGAGATAGCATTTCCTTTTTCTTGATGGGCATTTCATATACTAAATGCTTCCAAAACTTAGAATTTAATTTGCTGCTTTTGGGTCCCTTCCACTTGATCAGGGACAGAAGTTTGATGCTGCGCTTTAGTGATTCCACTTCCTGGTAATTCACCTTCCCTTTTAATTCTGTACACTCAATCAAAATCACTTTGATTTCTCCACTGACTAGCATATTATGGAGTCTGCTTTCCAATTCGAAAATACTCCATCCTCGTCTGAGAATATAGTCTGGAGTTAGCACGATAATAAGTCTTCTGCTTTGCTCAACACATCTCGTGAGATCTTCAACGTATGCTACAAATCACAGAAAGAGAGAAAGAGTAAAACAAAGACATTTCCAGTCTTTAAAGCATTAGGTTTGCACTCTAGTATAGCAAAGATCCAGGCTTTCTCTAAGAAGGTACAAGACATTTTCTTTTCTTGTATTGCACATTCAAAACGCTCATTTCCTTAAAAATATATTTTTTTTAAACTAATGGCTTATAATTCTTATTTTCTTTCCCCTCAGCATTACTTACAGTGTTCTGTTGGCTAACATAAGCTCTGACTTCTTCAGAGCTTAGGTGTATTTCAGTGATTTTTATTTATTTACTCATTTAATTCCAGGCAGGCTTCCAGGCTAGTACTCTAAGTGAACAAGCAATCAACGAGTTGATGAAAAGAGAAACAGAACATTTTAATAAATGTGGGGTTACAGTATTTATGGGTTTGGTTTGCTTCCCTTCCCCCCTAGTTTTCAACGACTAAACAAGTACAGGATCTACATATACCAACTACTTAGAAGATAGCTGTGATACAGAGATGCTGGAAAACCTCTTCTAGAATCATAGTCAGCTTGTTTCCCAGAGTACCTTCTGGTATTTGCAACCTAGGTCCTCCATTTTGCCTTTTAAACCCAGAGACAGGGAAGTGGTGTGTGTGCCCATGAGTTTAATTTGAACCAGCTGCTTTTTGTTCAGAGGGAGAGTGGAAGGGGTGCTGGAGCTGGGGGATGGTGTGGAATGAACAGTGAAGGAGGAGGGGAGGAGTCTATCAGCTGAGAAGTCTTTGCCCTACTCAGTGGAGCCATTCTGAAAGTGAGATGAATACATTATGGCCTTTTCAGGGTAGAAAAAACACTCAAACTCTAGATTTATTTATTCCATGGAATAATCCTTTTGTAATCATGCTTCCCAAAGTCTGATCCGCCAAAAAGGGGAACACATGCTTGTGTTAACAAATGGAGACTTGGACACAGGTGCTGCAACAGAAAGCTGTCTTTACTAAGCAAAGCACAAGGCCTTGTCTAATATACAGTGCCCTCTAGCAGAAGCAGTGCTTACAGAAGCATAGCAACATTTGTCACTGCAAATCTGCCCAAGGTTACAGACTGCTTTCAAGGAGTCACGTCCAGTACATAGTGTGGGGGCTACCAAACAGCCCAGTACAAGCCATTTGAAAAGAGCTTAAACTTATTTTACAGATGCATATTTTACAGATGATCTCTGTTTTCCAGGGTTTTATTTCCACCACCTGGCAGCAAGAAAACTTTCACAAGTGAAAATGAGCAAACTTTCTACACACCCTACAGATAAACAAAAAAACTTTTTAAGAGATACAGATAGACATGCCTATTTAACAAGTTGCTCTTACTGCTGTTTTGGTTTTTACTTAACACATTTCAGGACTTTCTCATGCAGTAGATACAATGATTTTTACCTGAGGGGATAAGACAAATTCTAATTGGGGAGGGAACCTCTAAAGAATTTTAAATGTTTTATTTGAGAGATTACGGATTCAGGGGGAAAAATCAGCGATGAAATCTGAAAACAACAAACAAAAAACCCCAAACCAAAACAAAACAAACCAACAACAACAACAAAAACACCACACCAGTAGTAATGGGGAAGTTATCACTCTGTAGTTATCACTTAGAGAAGTGGTGAAACAGAATGGAAGGAAAGGTAGAAAGTTTCAATAGAGTGGAAAAATATTATCCCAATGTATCAACAGCTCTGACTCTTCATTTTCTTCCTTTCTTTCTGCTCCCAAAAAGAAAGAAGTTATGTGGGAAGCTTCATCATTAGAAGTTGGATCTGTAAGATATAGTAAAATAAACTATCATGCATCTTTCCCATTATTCTTTTCACCTTTCCTCAAAAAAAAAAAAAAAAAGAAAGAAAAGAAAGAAAGCAAAACAAACCCAGAATCATGGTATTAGTGCAGGAATCCATGAAAGTACAGTTTTACCAGATAAATTATGGGTAAATTATTAATTTTATAGAAGGTTTCTTTACAACATAATTTACCAAAGGGTTATCTTGTGTATTATTCATCTCTCATTAATTTCATTTATTAATTTAAATTTTAAAAATTGATTTGTACAAACCTTGTCAGGAGCATAAATTATACCTCTATGCATAACACTATTTGTACGTGTGAGGATGCAGTCTAAATTTACTTTTTAAATTATACTTTTAAAAACAAAAACTGTATCTATACCTATCTCTATTAACTTAAATAAGCAATAAGCAACATCATGATAAATAGAGAAAACATTGAAGTTGTCAAGGATTTCACTTTACTTGGGTCCACACTCAATGCCAAAGTAAGCAGCAGTCAAGAAATCAAACGATGTTTTGCATTGGGCAAATCTGCTGCAAAAGACCTCTTTAAAGTGTTAAAAAGTAAAAATGTCACTTTGAGGATGATGATGTACCTGAACTAAGCCATGGTATTTTCAATCGCCTCATAGGGTCGCTATGAGTCAGAATCGATTCCACGGCAGTGGGTTTGGTTTTGGGCATGCGTATGCAAAAGCTGGACAATGAATAAAGAAGACTGCAGAAGAATCAAGGCATTTGAATTATGGTGTTGGTGAAGAATATTGAATATACCATGGACTGCTAGAAGAACGAACAAAACTGTCTTAGAAGAAGTACAGCTAGAATGTTCCTTAGAAGCAAGGGTGGTGAGACTTTATCTCACTTCCTTCGGACTTGTTATCAGTAGGGACCAGTCCCTGGAGGAGGGCATCATGCTTGGTAGGGTAGAGGGTCAGCGAAAAAGAGGAAGACCCTCAACAAGATGGATTGACACAGTGACTGCAACAATGGGCTCAAGCATAACAGTGACTGTGAGGATGGCACAGGACCGGGCAGTGTTTCGTTCTGTTGTACACAAGGTTGCTATGAGTTGGAACTGACTTGATGGCACCTAACAACAACAACATGTACTTAAAAAATTAAAAAAAAAAAGACATCCCAGCTCTGTGTAGCCTTAAAAGAAAATACACAGATACACACTAATTAATTTGATTGGGATCTCATCAACTTTGACTTTGCTATTCTCGGTCTGAAGTGGGAAAGGAAACAGGGTAACATTTTTTCCCATTAGTAGAGTCCTCCCTCCTTCACCCTTCTACTATATTTTGCCCTTTGACAGCTAAGCAAAATGCAACATTTAGGGTTCTTGGGCTTCTTAGGGACTCATTAGACAGAATTTACATTTGCCCCCAGAAGGAATGCCTGTCAGGACAGATTCCACTCAGCTGCGCTGCACAGGGTGTAGGTGTTGAAGGGAACCTTGGAGAGAGGGAGTGGTCCCTGTCTCCTGCATACTACACTGGCTGTGTTTATCCTGGCAAAGTCGAATGGAGAGTTGAGGCAACCATCCAGATAATTCCGGCTGAAAACCTGCCGTGGAAGAAAAAGGTCTGAATTATCCTGGTTTGCCCTATATATACATTAATCATATGCACTGGAGTCAGTCAGTACATCAAAATTTTCCCTGGGTAGATACAGCCCAAGTGTCCCAAAGAAAACATGAACCATTTGCTTGGGCCCCGACTCTCGTGTTCCATTTCACTTGGTGAAAAACCAAGTGGAAGTTTTCAGATGTGAAGCCCACATTTCACTTCTTGGGATGGTGATCAGTGGCTGGGCAGCAACCTCAGTATTTGAAAGCAGCTGGGAAGGTGCCTCTAAGAGCTGCTTGGCTCTAAGGAAAAGAAGGAGAGACTGTGCCCTAGCTTCCTTACTCTGGCTCTCTCTCTCTCTCTTTTTCTTTTTTTAATCCCCTCTTTTTGCCGTCTACCTTTCTCTTTCTCCCTTTCTTTTTACTTTCTCTATCTTTTCTCCCTCGTGTTTCCTTTTACCTCCTTCTTTGCTTTCTTCCACACACTTTCTGTTTGCCTTTCCTCTCCTCCTGTCTCTTCCCTGTCTCTCCTATCTCCCTCCTTCTCATTGCTCCCTCCCTCCTTAATTCCTTTCTCTCCTTCTTTTAGGGAAAACAAATAGTAACCTAGCCATCACGGAAGATATAAGTAAATTAGGGAGACACAAGGCAGTGTTAGTATTTTTTACTTGTTAGTCTTTAGCCAGGGAGTTGTTACTGGCTTCTATGCAGCAAGTACCCAAAACAATTTTGCCCTCATCCTGAGGGGTTGCATGTCTGCATTTAATGACTGAAAATTGGAGCCTGAGCCATAAGGCCCATGTCTTATTTTTGTATGGTCCATGAGCTAAGAATGATTTTTTTTTTTACATTTTCAAAGAGTTCAAAAAAAAGAAGATGATGAAAGAGACCATATGTGACTCACAAAGCCTAAAATATTTACTATTTGGACCTTTATAGTGGAGTCCTGGTGGCGCAGTGGTTAAAGCGCTTGGCTGCTAACCGAAAGGTCAGTGGTTCGAACCCACCAGCCACTCCAAGGGAGAAACATGTGGCAGTCTGCTTCCATAAAGATTGTTGTTATTATTGTTAGGTGCCTTCAAGTTGGTTCCGACTCATAGCGACCCATATACAACAGAACGAAACCCGAAACACTGCTCGGGTCCTGCGCCATCCTTATAATCATTGCTGTGTTTGAGCCCATTGTTGTAGCCAAGCCCTATGGGGCAGTTCTACTCTGCCCTAAGGGTCGCTATGAGTCAGAATAGACTCGATGGCAGTGGGTTTGGGTGTTTTTTTTTTTTTTTTTTTGGGTTTGGACCTTTACAAGTTTGCTGGCCCCTGAATTAGAAAGCAATCAGGCTGTTTGGGTTTGGAAAAATTCCAAATAAACTAAGCAAAAACAGGTATCAAGTTAAGACATTGCTGGTCCATAGGACAGTGTAGTCCATGGTGTAATCCCTGACAGGCAGCGAGGTTTGCCACGGTAGGGTTGTGGTTTTGTGGGAGATTTTAGAAACTTTTAGAAACTATTAAAAAAAAATGTTACCATGAACAGATAATAAGAAAACTTTTTTTAAATCCCTAAATCTATAACACTTATGAATACTCACTAAATGTTGCCAAGAGATAATGAAAAA